CGACCCTCGATAGGGATAAGGGCAAGTTGATGATGATGATGACGTATATACATATTAGTTACAAATACAGATCCGTATAAACAGGTTATAACTTATAACCCAAATGGTACAAAAAATGGAGAATTTCTTAAGCCACAAAACAAGAGAACAGGTTTTATTTTTTTTAAATGTGTAAAAAGTTGAAACTAACGCTTGCATTTATCTTAACATGTTTCATATGATTATATTTATAGTCAGATTTTATTAGACGGCACCTAAGTGCGTTGCACAAACACTAAGTGCTAATGATTCGTCCATACAGGGTGTTGCAAGAGCGTGTACCAAGGTCAAGGCGTGAGGTGAACGCAACAAGCAATCGCGACTTGCATCTTGCAATGTATTTACAATGACGAAGGACTTACAATTATGTTTCCTTTTTTATTTCAAAATCGTTATAGATTATAGTGTTATAAGTGAAATATCAAGATCATTCGCGGTCCCTTAATTAGTACATTTCTAATACTAGATTACACTCTTAATTAAGTAAAACGTACTATTTAAGGGAAATTCCCTTTGCGATTATTAGCGATTATGGAGATTCCTCTGTTATTGAAGACAGTCTGAATTTAATATGTTTTCATCAGTTCAGTAAAGCAAATAATATTTGCAGTATTCCTTGGAATATAGCTGCGATTTCAAAAGAAAAATAAAAGATCAACCGTGTGCTACTTGAAATAAAAAATAATTCATGTTTAAGATATACTTTTGTTACGACAATACAACATATTCATTAACAATCATATCACACTTTAATGTCACCTTAGCAAACGTGACATAACTATTAACTATTGTTAATGTTTTATGACGAACATTTGGACCCTGTACAACATGTAACAATTGTGCAAAACTTGGTTAGACATCAAAAAGTTGTTTCTGATCAATTTTTATTATGGCTGCTCCACATTAGTACTGTGAAACTCCATGAGCAGGTGTGAACGTGAATGTGGATGATTTTTGCGTGGTTCGCGTACGTATGCCTCGTTTTGCGCCTTGTTCTTCGGACAGTGTTGATATTTCGTACGGCGACAAAGGGGTCATGTTCACTTTCTACACATTATTAATTCATGGCCTTGTGCCAGTCTATTTTTTAATATAATGAGTATAAGATTAATGACGTCATCCACCACGTCCTTTTTTACAACGGTTTTAATCTTCGTTTGGACGTCTAAACAGTGATATGTTTCCAAAGCAAAATAATTGCTGAATGAAAGAAGAATAATTGAACATCCCGTGAATGTGGAGGGCATGACTTGTGCCGTGAATTCACGCCGTTAATGTGAAGCCGCCATTAGATGAAAATGATACACGATGCAGATCTATCATTCAGTGAAAGTCATTGGTCAATAACCTTTTGCTATTTCTCTCAACAAAATGACAGTAAAAATTGACTCTTAAAGCTTTGAATAATGCTTCATGCGTTCGCTTTATTGAGTGTTTCAACAATGAATTTAGTAACGAAATTTATTTACATAATATATACATAAAAAATCAAATTATAGGCAATAACTTATATAATCTTGAGTTGGAAAACAACAGTACAAACATTTTTTTATCTGTCTAAAGTACAATATAATCTGTTACCACTTCCGTGAAGACTAATATCTCATCAATTGTGTAATATACCAAGACATAAAAGTTAACTATGCTTAGTCATTAAATATAGAAACGTTTAGGAAATTACACATTTGTGTAGTCGCAATCAAAAATACATTACACATCTGAACGCAACAATATTACTAGTGTCGTTAGATAGAAAATGTTAATGCATAACATTATACGGAAGAAAGTGGCCAAGATAACACTTCATCGTAGTCGTAACTTTTACAAAAGGAAGTAAAAAATTACTACTCAGTCGTGGCTATTATAAATTAGTCGCTCTCTATCATTTTACCTACCGCATTCTTCGTCGTCTTTCTTTTACTTATATGTTTGTAATGATGAAATGATCTTGGTGTACTTTGGCATAGATAGAGCACAATCTGGAAGAACACAAAGGCCACTAAGTTTTAACACTCCGCTGACAAAACCAATTCAACTAGTAATATAATATTGCCATTGCAATATAATCTAAGATGAGTTAGTTACAAAGTATTTAGTATATATTATTTTTTTTCTATACTTAGCGGTAAAAACACGTTTGGAATAGAACAGTTTTTGCCATTATTTCGTCATTCACCAGATGATTTTATTGTATTGTAACGAGAAGAGATAATGTAAAAGAAGGGAGCAGATTGATGTGCTTTTGCTTTGCTTCTGTTTATGCAACTAAATAACTTAGTTAGATTAATATTTAAAAATAGCGTCTTCGTAGTTTGATTTACGACTGTCGTGTCTCGTCTTTAGGTGCTGATATGCATATAAATTACATATTTTATATAAGTTATTCAAAAGCTACTTCGTCTTATTAATCAATCCGTATTCATATCAAGGTTACCTTTGTTCCTTGAACCGTGAATAAAAATATTTTAGATTTAAATAATTTTAATTATATAAATGTTATATATAAACGGAAATACTCGTAACCGTTTCATAAACAGTAGACTCAACTGAAATAATAAGTAGCAGAAAGTCTTACTTCTTACTAATATTATAAATGCGAATGCTTAGATGGATGAATTGATGTTTGTTTCAAGGTATCTCCAGAACGGCGTAACGGATTTCGATGAAATTTGGCACATATGTAGAAAATAGCATGGAAGAACACATAGGCTACTTATTAAGGTTGTTTTTTATTCCGCGTGAATGGAGTCGCGGGCGACAGCTAGTAACTTATAAAGATGAATAGAAGGGTAGAGTTTTGATACAATTTTTGACGATATTTTAAGCTTTTTTAAGTTCAAAGTGTTATGCCGTAACCTTTTCTTATCCTACGTAAGTCTTTCATAACATCCAATACCATATTACAGCTTTCACCAATAAAAATAATGTCTTATATATGAGGTTTAACAATGTTGATACATAAATATACGACGACGACGTTAATTATTTTAAAACATTAAAATATACAGGCACACAGTAAAAAGAAACATTCAGATTAATTTGGACATATATTTTACAAAATTATTAGAAATTGCACTGCCCGTGTTATTTTTACTTTATAATATGACTCATTAGCTAATTAGCAGATGCGTGTATTAAATAGCTAAGATATAGTTTGCAAATTAGAAAGAGAAAATTTTGGAATACTAAAATTAATTACACAATTGTTCCTTGTAGATGAGCATTGGGTACTTCACTAGGAGTGAGACGTATTTCGCAGTAATTTGCGTTGCAACGGTGAATCTCGTTTTAATTAATACCGTTACACTTTCAAAACACTTCCATACTACTAGTTACATTTAGCGTTTACTTTGTTACATAATTTAATCGGATAATACTTGTTATTTTAACAAGCAATTTGTCGCTTTTAATTAAAAAGAACCTTACGCTTTAGCTAATAGGTTGACTGTCAACTAATCGGCTAACAGCGCAAAAAACTCGCAACCCTCTGACAATTTAGCAGTACATTTCCACTGTTTCGACACTTGTACGAAAACATATTCTTATTTCGGGTTTTCCAATAACAATATGGTTATGTCACAGCAGTGAAAACTCACGTACATAGAGACTAGCGGCAACTTACAATCGTCAGTTTTTCGAGATAGGCAGCTGGTTTTAAAAAGTCATAGATTATGTGCCTAACTATTTTGATCAATGCATAGATTGTCATATGATAAACCTAATAAATATATTTATATCTGACAAATACACGATTAATCTATACATTGAGCATACTCATATTATAAATAGGAAAGGATTGTTTGTTTGCATTGAATAGACTCCGAAACTACTGAACCGATTTAAAAAATTCTTCCACTGTATGGAAGCTACACTATCTCCTACTGACAGGGTCTATATTTATTACTATGTAGTTTTTTTTAATTCCGCGCGGAAAAAGTCACAGGCAACCGCTACTATTTAATAATTAGACGTCATCATAATATTTATCAATTAAATAACAGTTGATATAATCGCGTTATCTTTTAGCTGCAGTGTTATGACCTTTAACAATGTATAATACTTTGTATTTACGATATATCAAAAGTTGCAACAGTTTTGTGGTTGTCAAATTTTTTCCATTTCTACAACAAATTTTATCAAAAATGTTTTACTATGTTTTTGTATTGCACAAAACGTTCATTTAAAGTTAAAATTACAGTTCTAATTCATACTCTAGGTATTTATAATAATTTATACATAATGCATAGAATAGGTTGTTTATTAGATTTTTTTTCTTTGGCGCTGAGCGATGCATTCGAGCTTAATTGTATATCGTGACCTTGAAATAACATGCTCTTTCGTTTCGTTTCGCATAGTGTATGGAAAACTAAATAAGTAATAACTGGGTAAAGATTATGGCATTGACGATTTTTTACGACAAATGTTCGTGAAGATTATTTGAAAAATTACGCAAACGGAAAAAAACATTTGCAAGTTAAAAGTAACTTGGAAGTCAGTCGATACTTTTTCGTCGATTAATATTAACAACTAAGGCATAGGCGACAATACACAATGCACATTAAAGTTATTAACCTCAAGATAAGGATATTGATTTAAAACAAGAATTTAATGCAATAAAAACAGGGAAATTAAACCCAAAACTTTCCCATGGTTGACTTTTTTATTGTTCTCAAAAACCAAAACAGATATGTTCTATTATTTACGTCAGAAACATGTTCGGTATACATATGCACACATTTACCTCTATTATCGTTTTTTGTCATGACTAAAAATAATACGTATATGGTATGATAAATGTATGTTTTTCTTAGATAATAATAAATTTTAAGGAATCAACGTTCCAGTAGATATCCATTGCTTCATAAAGGGTTCAAATGTTGACATAAATGTGGTTAACAATATATGTAACGTAAACACAATAATTGTAATAAGAAAATACAGTTAAGGGCTTACAATCTTACCTTCATTAATGCAAAACGTTGGTCATCATCAATGCCTACGACTGCGTTCGACATTGGGGCCATAATCACAAAATTTACAATTGTTTTTATTTTAATTCGAGGTTAACACTCGGGGTCGAGCACACTTGATGCGTGCACACAGCGCGGACGCGAAATTTTATATGACAACTTGATAGCTAGTTACAATCAGCTAACTTAACTGTCAAACTAACAGCTGTCAACCGTTATAGCCGAGTACTGAATGATGTTGGAGGCAAGTTGTATGTCATGTACAATAAACATACGGAAGCATCCTGTTTCTATTGTACATTAACAAATAAATTATACTGGTTTGAAGACTTAATGTTGATGCGAGACAAAATAAAATAAAAACATTTTTGAAAATAGGTGATATGATGATGATATTTTTCTTTGGATTGAACCTCACCTGCAATGCGAATATATGCTCTTGCAGTTAAATATTAACCCTTAAGTTTGTCTATTGTAATACAAAAAGCATTGGCTTATTGGTTATAAAATTCTATTTAACCTAAATATGTATTATTTGGTGAAAGTTTACCTAATTTGATTGTGAGGGATTAACAATCGAATTCACAATGCAGTGATGAATTGGCATTCTTTTTTGCCCTACATGACCAAACTTGTGATATTCAACAATGTTAAAAGTAAGGACGTAGAAAGTCAGTGTTGATGGAAAGCCATATAGCAAGTTTTTATGAATAAATTATAAGATCTATAAAATCTAAATCTTTGCAATATATTTTTATGTAATTCCTAAAGCTGTTTGGTGTCCCATTTCCAACATATTGTAAGGTGGATAAAATTAGATAAATAAAAGGATTATTAGCAAAACTATATTTAATTTTTATACAATAACACATTTTTTAAATATGTAAACTTTATCTTACACACTACTTTTAATATTATTTCATAACTGTAAAAACTACCCCTCCTCTCTCTGGTTCTTCATCATGGATTTCTTTATCACTACCTTCGTTATCAGATGTTTCTGCGGAGTTATCACTCTCAACTTCCCTATATTTACCGTATTTTGATGCATCTGAAATTGATGCCATTTTTATTCCTGCCCGTGACAATAACTTTTCAGCTGCATGTTGTACTTCAATTTCTTTTAAGTGGACATTATATTGTTTCTGAAGTTTCAAAGACTCCTCTAATGATAGCACCTTTGCAGGACCATGAAGAATAGGAGGTGGTGTTGCAGCCGTTACCTCCCAATATTTGTGCTTTTTTCTCTGAATCTCTTTTTCAGGATTATGTACATCTGATTTTGTTGTTTTAAATGGTTTATAATGACCAGTTGGTTTTGTTTTCACATTTTGTTCAGCTTTTCCTACCAAATATTTTACATGTGGAATTTCACCAATGTTAACTAAATCGTCAGGTGTAACTAAAGGTTTTTCTTGTGGTATAACTTTCACTTTTTTCTCTTGAGCTGTTTGCTGACTAAGTATATGTAGGACATCTTCCGGATCACTGTCATCATCAGAATCAAGATAAGTATTCTCTTTATTCACGAGTTTACCTTCCCACTCAACATTTTGAACGCTATCATTGTTGAGATTCAAATTTTTCAATAAATTGCAAGTACTGTCCTCTTCTTGTTTCAATTTTATTTCCTTTACTATTTTATCATACAGCTCTTGTATTTTTGCACCCTTATCGGATAATCTATTAATAAATCCCTTGTTATTTAATAACTTTAACTGTCTATCTCGAAGCTCAAAAAGTTCCGCAATTGTTTTTGACGATAGATCTGTGATTTTACCATCGATTTCACATTTTGGTGGTGGTGGTAGTGCTCCAGGTATTTTCTTTAAAATAACTTTCTTCATTCCTCTAATTGTGTAATATAATCATGTAAAAAAAACCCAAAATGTAACCTTGTTTTCATATTTTGTTTTGCATATTGATTTTGACGTATAGATAATAATTTGACAGTTTTTGGCAGGTGTTTTTTTTATTTTTAACAGTTCTGGAGATTTGTCTTTAGAGCTTATGATTAAAAATCGTATTGTAATTATAATAATCGTATTTCTTATGGTTTTTTAGTTAAATAAATTGTTTAAAGCATAAAATAAGTAAGTTTCTAAGTATTCTATCACCGCTCTGAAAGTTTCTTCCGTCCTTGTTCTGTTACTACCTAAATTACTCTTTAGTCTGTCTGACAAGATCATTTTATATATTTTATATACTCTTTGGACAAGATGAGCAAGGTGACAGTGACAAACAATATGTCAATATGGTGCAACTGCAGTTATAAAAATATCGCAAAATATATAGATTTATAATGTATATTTCGCGTAAGGGACAATAATTTTGATGCTTTTATTTAAATATATGTGGTAAACGTACAATAGTGAACATTAAGCGATAAAATGGACGACGTAACTGTATGTACTGTTTCTTATTATGGCTCTCTTCTATACAACAAAAGCTGCAATTAATAATTACCGTCTTTTATGTACAAATTCATCAGTGCTAGGACCAGTAACGGCAATATCTTTTGCACAAATTGGCCGTCTTGACCAGTAAAATACCACGACCAAAGCGAAGACAGGCGTCAAGTGGAAACGATACCGCGATTTGTCTGATAAGTGTTCGTGCCATAGGCCTAAATATGGTTTATAGAACTCCCCTTTCTACCCTTTTCTTGTAAGGAAATGATAGTATCCTCTTTCTATGTTTCCCCTTTTCGCTGATTAAGTACCCTTCCATTATAGGTACCCTTGAACTTGGAGCCCATGCAGCAGAATGGAGTGAGCGACAGGAGACTATGGATTGGAAATCTGGATCTCAGAGTTAATGAGTATGAATATTTATTTTTTGTTATGCCTTCTATTAAACATTTGTGATCAATGTTCAATTACTGTTAGGAAGTTCTCAAAGATTTAAATGCCTGGTTCTAAGAAAGCAGCTATTGCTAAAACTTTTAAAATAGATTTATTCATTAGATACCTTCTATTGTTTTAGAGATATAACATAAAAAAACTTTTTTTTACTTTGTTCAAAATATTATTGTAAACAGTATCAGTTTGATGGTCACTCCAGTAACCTATACCCTTTTCACTTTACCGGTATCAATTATTGAAAATGGTCCGTGTGTACGGAAACATCGAGAAGTTTGACATGCTTTTCCACCGGAGTGGGCCTAATGCAGGCCAGCCACGAGGCTTTGCATTTGTCACCTACAAGCTACGGAAGGATGCCATCACTGCGATGAACTCACTCAGTGGCCAATTATTGGGCTCCAAAAGAATATGTGTGAAGTTCGCCAAAACAACTTCTGTATGTAACATATTTTTTTAACTTGTAATATTTCAATGTTTAAGCCTTCATTCAACGAAATTTTTTGTAGCAAAAAAAACTGTTTTTTTTAGTAAAGTCATACTTACGTAATTTTCTCTAGACTAGTTCAGTGGATTTTTTTAATTAGTTGTTTGTCACACTGGACACCATCAAATTAAGGGTTAATAAATAGTTTTTGGTGACATAGTACTAGATGTAGCATAATGTTAAATAAATGAGGGATTGTTATTCATTCATATTGTTTAAGAAAATATATTAAAGTTTTAATTATATGAGGGACTCCAAAACAAATCAATTTATTAAACTCTCCAATTGAGTTCATATTTAAAGTACAGGGATTGTTTTCATCAAAACCATAAAAATTATATGAAAAAGAAATTTACGATATCAAAATAAAATCTACGTCTAATATATTTCAGGACGATCAAGATAAACCGAAGCCAGAATTGGGCATACCAGCACTGGCTGGTGCGAAGCCAGAAATGAAACTAAGTAAGAAGACTGCTATCCAATCAATTGAAGCTAAACTCAAGATGATGGAGAATATGAATGCAGGTGATGATTTTGTAATCAACAAATTAGCAGCAAACGAAGCACCGGTGATTGCTCAGTACCAAACGAAACAATATCATCCAACAAATAAAACCATCAGTACATTTAAACGGAGACATCCATATCATAAAAAAAGATAGCTGCATTTTTCCGGAGGGTGGAAATCTCTTTACGGTATTATTTGATATTAGAAGTTAAGTGTACTGTTCAAAATATTTTTAAATTAGCCTTTAGAATATAGACTGGAGTTGTTCTTAATGTTACCACTTATGCAGTAATTTCATGTTTAAATAAAATATATCATAAAAACATTCTCTATGCTATTTATAAGTATATTAATAATTTGTTTGCATTCTAATGGCAATTTTAACACTATAATGACCAAATATTTCTATTGCTTTTATTTGACAAAAATTTGAGCTTTATCTTGAGAATTGATATAGAAGCTTGATGAACTCTAACAGTAAAATTCTTCTCCAAATTTACTTCTTTAACTTTAGAAGTAGGTTTTGCCTTTTAATATTACAAATTATCAAACCGTGAGTGTGTTCATTAGATTTGAATTTTACAAAAAAGTGAATCTATGACTTATTGCTTAAGTTCTAACTAAATGTATTTTTGATGGTTTGGAGATTTAGATTTCTTATTATGTGGATCGGAGACTTTGAATTTTTTAACTATTTTTTTTAATTAAAATCGATATAGTCAAAAATATTACTAGTGCTAGGAAATCTGTTTGAGCCCAAATTGATATTTTATCTTAATTAAAATAAAACAATGTAATATAATAAAAGTTTTTTATTTTAACATATTTCCTTAACATATAAAATGCTACTTCATATAAATATTATTTCTACTTATGATAAAGCCAAAAATCAGACCTGCAATTTTAGCTGTTAAAATAAAATTAATTTAAAACAAATTAATACTTATATAGACAAATTGAAAAGCTCACTATGGTCTGATTTTGTCAAAACAGCTCAGTTCTAAGACTTGTGGCTCCATATTAAAAAAAAAAAAACAAAATACCCTAACGATGGGAAAATAAAGAACTTTTGAGGCGAAAAATAAACACATAGCGACGTATCAAATTTGCGTTAGACTTGAGCCTTACTACAAAAAAGCCGCTGTAATATTGATCATGCTTGTAAATTGTTAATAATCACAAAGTTACAATTTATTAATTGCATAGATTTTGAAACAATTCTTGTACAATTAAATGAGAAACAGCATTAGGCGGAGATATATTACATTAATGTGATTTAAAATTATAAATTCGTAAATGATATTTTATGTAAAATAAGATTTTTAATAACATCACAAATTGTACCTCCTTTTAGCATACTTTTGTGTTTAATTTTCAATTTCATTATTCTTTCTGCCGTTTTTGAGATAAATGAAATCTATTATTATATTAGAAAACTTCGTTTTTGACGGAAGTTTTGTCAGCAGTATTGTTATTGGATAAATTATAAAATAGTGAAAGTTGAATGTTTAGAGCTGAAAAATAAAAATCCACTAAATTATTGACTTATTCGATATACATTTGAATAAGTATATGAAATTAAATAGTGCCGCAATTTATAACTAAGAACTACATCTTTTTTTTTATAAATTTTAATAAAAGATACAAAGGTTATTTTGTATTTACTGGTTGACTGTACATTTTTTTTTCTTAAATCATAGAATTATTCTGTAATAAAATAAGACTTTAGTTTTAAAGTTTGATGATAAATATAAAATATACACTAGTATTTTACAATTACATATCACTTTTCTTGTTAATTCATTTAACATAGATATATGTATTTCACATAATAATAGTCTCACTCGTTTTGAAGCCTGGTAATATATTATTTGAGAGTGAACTTGCCAATTTCTGATTAGGACTTGCAATTAAATAATCATCATCTTCTGCGACTAATTTCTTCTTGATACTAGAATATTGTGTTTCATCATCGCCATCTTTAGCCCAGTCTTTATATTCTATGCACAACGGCCATATTATTTGACCGGATCTGTAAAGAAAATAAAAAAGCACAGTTAATTTCAGTATTTTTTATTTATCCACACCACTTTAACAACTTGAGGCTATTAGAGTCATAAGACCTTGGTAAAATTGTTTGTCTTTAAGGGCTTGTTTCACAATGCCAATAAGGTGCTGGATAAATCTTACTAATATTATAAATGCGAGAGTTTAGATGGATGGATGTTTGAAGATATCCCCGGAATGGCTTAATGGATCTTGATGAAATTTGGCACAAATGTAGAACACAGTCTGGAAGAACACATAGGCTACTTAATTAGTTTAATTTCGAGTGAACGGAGTCGAGGGCGACAACTAAGAGTAAATAAATTAACTTCTGTGAAAATAGTTTCTGTATCACAGCTTACATGTATGTTTGCAGGTTTGTCTGTATGTTTACCATTCGTTTTTTATTTTCCATAAAAACCATCGGGTTTTTTTTCCATTGACAGAGTTTTTAATATTTTTAACTATTTCCTTGTATTCACTTACTTTGGCAATGTATAAGGGTCATATGGGAACCATTCATTGTAACATTCCTCAGTACTGTACTGTAGAGAGTGTCGCGTGTTCTTCTCTATGATAGCCTGGCAGTAGACCACTTGATGTGCTCGCGTCACAGACGAGAACGCCCGCGTCACCTGCGGTGGACATGTACGGAGTGGATTCAGGGAACATGTCACAAGACGAGGCAGGTTTAATGATTCCACAAAGTTCAGACCTGGAAATAAATAATTGAATTGTTAAATTATTAAAACGCAGACCAAAGAGGTTACATAAGTTGTGGACGAAGTGACGACACGATGAAATTTGCTACAGATGCAGACCATTGTCATATAGGTTATTAGTAAGTTTTTTGTGAGGACAAAGTGGTGTAGTAGAATATAAAAGACATACTCACTTTCTTTACTAACAAATAGCTGATGATTTTTAAACGCAACCAGGTAGAATATTGCATGGCATATAGAATGGAAGACACCATGCACTTTAGTGTTATCACTGACTGCAGTTGACTCTTGAGTTGCAGTAATATAAGAGTGACACCATTCGGCCATGCTCTTCAGGTAATGTATCAGTCTACTGTTTGATATACGGACACAGCGAGCTAGTAAGCCAGCTAAATGACTGGTTGCTGTCCGTCTTGTGGCCAATGCTCCCGGACCGGACCCGTGCAGACCGGCAGCAATCATCCATAGATTGGAAAATATACGATCAGCACATTGTTGGCTTATTGATATCGTATAGAGTATTAGGAATTGAACATGTCTGAAAATATTAAAAATGCAAACATATAAAAAGGGTTTATAATACATGAATTTGTGATCTTTTGAAATATTTCTATGCCAAAATTACTTTGAATGTACCCAAAATATCCTAATTTTCTTCTTCTGATAATAATTTGTCACAACTCTCAATGCATAACATTTTTATCATATAATACTATTTTTAAATAATTTAAACTCACCTTATACCATGTGTTGGTAATATGACTCTTTCAAAGACATTACACATTATCACAAGAGCAGGTTCTCTCTCATCTTCTAACCATTTCAATACTTCTATCATACAGTAATCTAGTGTCTCTGAAACAGTGTCTTGTTCCTCTGTGTCCATTTCAAACATTGTGTCTATTTGTAACTTGTTCTTAGCTTGATCTTCTATATTAACATCCATTGTAACCATTCTGAAGTAAAGACAATTGAATTAAATATATAGTTGTTCCCACAACCACAACAACTGGTAGTACAGACTAATACTAAACTAATTATGACAACAGCCTTTGAAGCTGTTATTTTTTATTTTATTTTTTTATATCATAAGGTGGCAAACGAGCGAGCGGCCACCTGAAATCGCTGTAGTGGCGAAGTGACCGTTGCCCATAGACATACGCAATTGCATATGCGTTGCCTACCTTTAATCGACGGAGGAGAGGATGCACAGAAAGAAAATATTTTCCCTTTCCATGCATCCTCTCGTCCGGAAAGTCTGCTTCCACTTCCCATCCTTTCCTTGTAAGAAAAGGGTGAGAAGGGAAAGAGGACTAAATTCGGCCTCCGAGACCCACACTCATCAGACGAAACGCGGAATTGCTTCCACTTCACGCCTGTTTTCTGTGTGTTGGTGGTATTTCATACATTTAAAACTGTTGCTATTAACAAGTTATGGTCGCCGTGAATGTTACATTTCAATTTAACAAGTACTAAATATTGTATGTAGCTTTAAAATTCCTAATGTTAATTTAAAGTTTAATTAAAAACATTATCATCAAAACATAGGCCTTTTTTTGCAAAGTATAGAAGTGATTGTGGTTTTTTTTAATATTAATACAAAACATATGATAAGCTTATATCAATTTTGTAGTCATATAAAATAAGCATATGAGAAATCTATATTATTTTATCTTATCTAAAAGCAAAAGGCAGCATTTTTCCTTGACCTAAAGAAATTTACATATTTTGATGATATTAAGTTGGTATATTTAATTGTCTAATTTAAATTGATTCTTTTTATTCTTTAAAATTTACGGATTATTTTTTTTCATAAAATCTTTCAAAGGGCATACTCCTCAGTATTATTTGTTTTTTTGGAAAGCTTAAGTAATAGAAATATATAGATATATACCTGTTAATAACAGCCATAACAAGTTGTTCCTTTAGCAATGGCAAATATTTGCTCATCCATATTAAGTTATGTATGTAAGCTCTGTTTGAAAAACATCCTGCCT